ATTGAGCATCAAACTTCACTGCATTCTCATTCTTACAAAGTAGATCCCTCATGCAATGGTGTTATGTGAGTAAAGCAAAATGTCAAATGAATATAGGTGATCATCATTGTCATCGTTCTTTTTATTCACGTCCTTTGGAGGCAGTAATACAAACAGCTGGATCCTCTGAATCTGCACAGAATCACCTCCGAGGCGCACCAAAATCTGGGGAATATCTATAGGTCCGTCATGATCATCAACCTTGCCTTGTTGCAAGTATAATGAGGCATATCTATGAAACATTTTGGGTTCTTGGAGGAACAAGCCATTGCCTCGAATTTGCCAGACTCTGGTACTTTTACCTCGGAAATATATTTTTAGAAAAAAAAATATATTAACCATCGACAAATTCAAAATAACATACAATACATAGAGTAATAAACAAAACACAATGGCTAATAAACAATCATAAAGTTCAATATAACTCAAGATTTCAATAAATAAAATTAAATGACATCTATATTATATTAATAAGATAGAACCCAATTTGAATCCATTTTTACTTCAAAATTTAATCTAATTTTAATTCATTTGGAAAAGCACAAAGACAGTTCAGATTTAATCTACTTTTAAGTTAATCCAAAGGCTGAGCATGCATCCCACACAAAAAACTTATCCCGCCCAAACTTCTGCACAGTCCACAACTCCCAAGGGCCCAACGTCTCTCTTCTTCTTTTTTCTCTCTGTTGTCTCTTCTCTCTCTCTCTCCCCTCTCTTTCTCACCTCCCTCTCTACACACGCACACACAGTCACACACACACAATCCCCCACCCACCCAGAGCACTCACACACACACACATCACGACACACCCAATATGTTAATCTAGGGTTTTGAATTGGGTGTTAATTTAGGGTTTTGAAATTGGGTGTTAATTNTCACGACACACCCAATATGTTAATCTAGGGTTTTGAATTGGGTGTTATTTCATCTCTCCTTACTTTCCCTCCATGTCTTTTGTCTCCACGGCCTCTGCCACACCATGTCATTGCCCATGGTGGCTGCCACATTAGTGGAAGTTCAGTCTAGGTAATGCTTGATATTGAGAAAAAAATCTATACTTCCTTCTCCTTGGAGATGCAGTACAAACATTTAATGTTATTGAACCATTCTGCTCTTAGAAGAAACAAGCTTCAGTTTATAAGATTAACTTGAANCATCGCCAACGCCAAACGACCCCATCTATCTCTTTCTTCCTCTTCCTCTTCCTCTTCTATCTGACTCCTTGCTCCCCATCCCCCCAAACAAAATCCACCACTGCATATCCCNTCGTTAAGTTGCATACTGAGTTATCAAGCTATTTGTCACAAAGAAAGAACGGGCAAAAAAAAAGTTTTCCACACCTACGGTAACTTAAATGGGAGATGGTACTTCATATAATATTGACAATAGATCATTGGTCTAACNGTTTTTGTGGTTGCCTTTGTTGATTTTGTGTCCATATTCTTTAAATTTTCCTATTTGCACAACCCTTTTTCTGGTTTGGAAGCAGAATGAGCCATACCCATAAATCACTTAATTTTAGTGTTACATTGCATACGCATAGCTTGCTTCACTGGGGTCACTTGCTTCTTGAGAGGAGGTAAGCTACTAGGTGCAATNGATTGTTTGGATTAGTAATCTATTGCTCTTCTTTTGGATTCAATTTTAAGGATCCCGAATGCCAACCCCTATAAATCTCCACTTGGAANGGGGTCACTTGCTTCTTGAGAGGAGGTAAGCTACTAGGTGCAATGGGGGTTTCTTCTTTTATCTTCTTTCTTCTTTGTCTGTTGAAGCTTTGGGTCTTTGATTAATCTTCTTTGTTTAAATAAATAGAGTGTAATTGTTTACGCTTTGGGTCTTTGATTAATCAGCCCANGAAATAATAGCTTCCAAGACCAAGAATCCCACCTATGATGATCCAAAAACTCCATACACAATGTGTTATATAGTGTTTTCACTGTTATATTTTTGCATCTCTATGTGTTTTGTATCTCTACACAACAATCTCAAAAGTAAATAATATATTTTTTAAGTTGTATAGTCTTTTTATATTATAGATGTTGTGATCTTTGCCTGTGATTGTATTGCAATCCCAGGGTCCCCAGCCTTAGTTCATTATCCCCAGCCTTAGTTCACTATCCCTTCAAAGCTTCTTCATAAGTGCAACATTTTTCACACTAGGTATGTGAAAAGGGAATTTTTAGTTGGTAGTTTAATTTTGGATAGTTGCATCATATGAATCCAAATTTTTTTAAAATCCAGCTCATTGCTTTTTCATCATACGACTACTTGCTATGTTTTATCACTTTTCCTTTCTCTAATTTTTTTAGTTAATTACTTAAATATTGTTAACTAGGTATCTTTTGCTTAATGGCTATCTTTGTTGGTTCATCACAATCTTTATGTTTTAAATAATAGGATCAAAATGATGGATGTTGTTGCTATTGGATTAAGTGTTCATTTTAGAAGGTGATTCTCACTTTTATTATAAGTGATTCTTCCCTGATTTTGTATTGAGTGATAAAAGTGTCATGTTTGATAAGAGGTTGTGGATTTAACTTCATTGAAATTCTTTTATTGCAGGAGTAGAAAATTCAAGGAGCAGTTAACATAATAACATGCTTTGAAGAATCAATTTAGTAGAACCGACTATTTTATTGGTAACCAATATTGTTTATAATTTTAAAGTTCTTTTTAGTTCATTTCAGGTTGAGATTAAAGGCCGGATGAAATGGTTTGAAGGTAATGAATGAATGGTTAATGAGTTGTAGCTATTCAAATAGTTCACGAATAGGTGTAAAAAATAGGTAACTAGCCTATTTCTCTAATTCTATCATGAACTTCAATTTTTAAAGGTTGCATTGGATGGTCTTTGTAAGCCTATTTCATGAGTTAGAATATGAGTTTATAAAGGTTTATTCTATCTTACTGTATTTATTTTGTCACTTACCTATTATTTTTTTTCTAATTGGATATCTTTATTTTGTGTTACGCATGGACATTAGCTAGGATATTGACCAGCAGGATTAATGTTGATCCTGCTAATATGATTAATTCAAGTTTGGATTGGTTGTTTACTTTTTAATGATTCTGTTTGAAGTGGTGAATATGAGAAAAACAATATTGAATTGAGAAAAAGTGAATTGGTTTGGTTTGGGCTCATGAAATTAGTTTAGTTCATTCATTATTGAAGTTGATTCATTGATTTTGGGGGAAGAAAAAAAAAATCCAGTTATGTGGTAAGCTTAGATTTACGTTTATTGGAAAAGCCTAATCTTCACTTCTATTATACGATGTTTTTTAATTTTTTTTAAACATCTTTGGCATCAAAATTGAGAATACATGTCTGTGACACTATTTAATTCACTAATCTATTGATGCTTTTATATTAAAAAACTGATGCAAGGTAACCAAGAAAAAAAAAGAAGAAACAAACAAACTTTGTTGTGAAAAAGCCCAAGTGAAATCCTAAGTGGAATTCTCACATAGAAGCTTCAAATGAAGGCTGCATTCTCTTGGAAAATTTTCTTCATTAGAATTCTCACATGTTTTTATTCTTATGTAACTTTTGTTTCTCAACTGTAAGATTTTAGGAAGTTGAATAGTATTTGGTGCAACTGGGTTTTGGTAGTGGTACTTAGATTAATATATTTACTACTTCATAGACAATCAGGTATTTAGAATAATAGTGACACCGAATAATGGAGGCATTCTTTTTTTGTAAAAACTTTTGTATGGGGTGGTATTTTAATTAGAGGTAAGATGAAAAGAAAAATCAAAATTAGGACGTGTTATTGTGTCTGTGCATTAATTTTTCAATGTTTATTAATGATTTTAATTTTCCTATCTTCAAAGGTTGGAATTCTGTCAAAGTTCTTTAAAATATTAGTGGGTCATATTGATTGTCGGAAATGTGTTATACATTGTTTTCGTGCATGGGTAAATATTTGCAAAATTTTTACTCCTTCGGGTATTTACTTAGTTTACAAAATAAGAGAGAACATCGTTGAAATATGGCTTAACTGTCGGTGAAATATACCGAATTTTTAAAAGTAGAAAGTAGCATTCACCTCTCTTTGTCTTCCTCCCTCCCTTCCACTTTCTGAAAAACCACCATGGCTATCAGCATTCGAAGTTTTGAGCTACCTTACCGTTCGTACGAGCTCTACGACGTAGATTTCTTCGACGACACCATCAAAACCCTAGTGACCTCCACCCCCTGCATTGTAGATACATGGATCTCCGACATGGAGTACCTTCACCGTCACAGGCTCCACAAACTCATTGTGGGCCTCGATGTCGAATGGCGTCCCGGTTCCAACCCACCGGCCACGCTACAACTCTGTATCGGCCAAAACTGCCTCATCTTTCAACTCATCTGGGCACCCGAAATTCCCCAATCCCTCTTAGACTTCCTTAGCAACGACGATTACACGTTTGTGGGTGTTGGAATCAACCAAGACGTTGAAAAGCTACGGGATGAGTGTTGTCTGGAGGTGGCGAACACCGTCGATCTTCGAGGGCTGGCGGCGAGGGAGTTGGGTAGTGACGCGTTTCGCTCTGCTGGGTTGGTGGGGTTGGCGAGAGACGTTCTTGGGAAGAATTTTGAGAAGCCGAATTGTGTCACTATGAGTGAATGGGACGTCGATTGGCTTAGCCTTGATCAGGTAATGTACGCTTGCGTTGATGCATTTGTTTCATTTCAGATTGGACGGTGTTTAAAGGCATGGAACTAGGGAAATGTCAGTCTATTGTGGAATTTGGGAGGTGGGTTTTGAAGCTCTCTGAGGAAGATTTATGGATAGTTTTGCTTTTGTTACTTTTCTATATAGGCTCAAACTCTAGGAATTGATGATTTGAAAACTTTTTTATATGCTCCTCTCAATTGGTTTTGTTATGGTATATACTACATGAGAGCACTTTGATGATCCGCTGATATTCTAACATTGAATGATTTTTAATTATATTTGTTATTTGCAACCAAATTAGCAGAGAATTTAGGTAATTTTAGTTAGTGGATTGTGAAATTTGATTCTAGTGGACAGACGCAAGTGATTTGGTTGGAAATCTCTGTGGGAGGCAATGGGACAGATGAGGGTAGCAAATAGCAATTGTGTGGTAGGGGGTGGAAGCCACAGTTACAATGGTGGTATTGATCTTATAGCTGCAATGTTTTAGGGCAATTGACTCCATCATTGGTTATGAAATTGATGTTATGGAATTACAATAGGTTTAACACAAGTATTGCAACCTAAAAATTTGACAAGTATAATGGACTAGGTTTAACACATTGACTAGATGCTCATAGAATGTTTGTTAAAGAAAGAGTGATAGAAGAAATTTTAGAATTCATGATTGAAAAATGCTATTTGTACCTAACTTGGTAACTTAAATCTGGGGACTTAATTGATGATCAATTCCACTGCATTGAGAAGGAATCAGGATTTTACCCCAACTGGGATAAATATTAGTGTAACCAAAAATTTTATTCACCAACACCATTCAACTAGTTTGACTACTTTTTTTTTTCTTTTTTGCTGGGAAAATTATGAAGTAAGGGGCAACCAGTGGTAGATGATCTTACCTAGAAGTGACCATTGTAATCCCTACACACTGGAGAATCCATGATGCGAGTAGCCTGGATGGTTGGGTCGCAGATGCTCTCAATTGCCCTTGAGATTCGAACCTGTAACTAGCTGGCTTCGTCGACTTTTGCCTACTACGCTTTGCCACAATACCACAAGTTCCTTTAAGTATTCTAAGGAGCTAACATTACCAGCGAATCAAATTGGCCGAAGGCGTGCGTTCATGTGTTCATGCTAAAGTTTCAATCATGCATTATCAAACTATTTTGTGAAGTACCTTTATTATAGGATTTATAGAAAACTTGAGGAAGGCATTGCTCCCTATCCCACAACTTGGTTCTGTCAATGATCTCTGTTCATATTAACACGTGGTTTTAGAACAATTATTGTGTGGTGATGACAGTATATTACTTGCTAGTTGAAAGATACATCGATCAGAAGAAAGGTTTCGTGTCCATCAGTTTTCTATTATAGTTGTCGTATTATCCTTTACCGTGGCACAGTCAAGTTTACTTCACTCTATGAAATACAACAAAAAGGTTTACTTCACTCGACGAAAAAAACAGACAACCTTTCACAAATACATTTTCATTCTAATTCATCAGAAACATATCTTAATAACATAACAATCCTATCATACAACATAAAATCCATTCGCATAGTAGAAACCAGGCCTAGCTTGGCTCAGAAACATTAGTAAAGTAGTCTACAACATTTAACATTGTTTCTATTATCCAAAACAAGCTAAAAATAATAAAAATTAATAATTCATTGCCTGATCCTTTTTCTGCAACATTATTGCTAAGAAATCTAATGCTCTCTGTCAAATCCGGCTCCCGCGGGAGTACCTAAAAAAAAACTAAATTTAAATCCCTGTTGTAGAAAGAATCCAAAAAATAATATGCAAGTGTTTATAAATATCATGATGGTTTCTAATAAACAAGGCAATTAAGAAGCTACTTAGTTTTGTCCACGGATTGTAATTCCTTTACTATTTCTTAGTGAGAATACATATTGTTTCAGATTAAAAAAAAAAAAAAATTGAAACGCTTAATGCAGTACTGAAGTTTATAGCTCTTATTTGACAAATTTACACGGTGTTGGACTCTCTGTTTCGAGAAATAAGTCATATTTTCATTTTTTTTTCAGTCACCATTTCAAGAACAAAACAAAATGTGTATGTTTTTTCCTTGATGTCTTTAGACCCATTTTGTCATATCCTATGACGAGGAGGGAGTACTAGGGGTACATACCTTGATGAAGGTTTTTAAATGATCATTTCAAGATATGTCCTAGCCAAGGAAGTAAATTTTGTATTGGTTATGAAGAAACAACCGAAACATTTTGGTTTGCACAAATGAACTGATTGAACATTAAAATTTATGTGTTTCTAGCTATTTCATAATATTTTTATGTATTTTGGTATGTTCTGAAACTTTTTCGTTTCCGAGCTTATCAAAACTAAAACTACAGCCCGATCAATTGAAAATTTGATCCTTGGACCCAGCCATTTATGTATAAAGATATCAATAAAAAGGAAACGAAATAACTAACACATTTTGGACAATGAACAGGCCTATAGCATTATGCTATGGTTGGTATTCACAAGAGCTAATAAAGTAGACTTTCTAAGAAAACTTATAATCCGATGTATTCTAGTCTATTATGATTATGTTCGATATACATGGCCTATAGGAGGTGTTTTCAAATGTTGCATCAAGAATGTTATAATCTTCTCTTTCCCGGTATGGATTATTTCTTCTATTTCATATTTTAGAATTCCAAATAAATATGTTTTGGCCATTAGTTTAGCTAAATAGAGTTTTTTAACTCTGACCAACTTTAAATTCGTATGTAGATATACGAGAGAGTGAGAGAGAGAGAGTAACCATTTCATAGAGATGGCGTTCATGCTCCAAATTCACCTTTGCGGAACTTCCTTCGCAGCCTAGCAGCAGTCAATGCACTTGCTAAAAGTAGCCCGTTGTAAACATTCTCGACGAGCCCAAAGTATGCATACCTCCAAGATTTTTTAAAAAGCAAGGTACAACAAACCGCCAAGAATCCAACAAAGAAACCAGGTCCAATGCCAGCATAGAACCAAAGAAATTCGAAACTATCTTCACCTTTAGCTTGAAACTGCTGATCATGACCCTCAACTGGTTTATCCCCCGGGCAACTCTTTAGGAGTGGTGCTCCACAAAGCTCACTGTTGCCCATGTAAATGGATTGATCATCCAGGGTCTGGAGTTGATTTCCCTTTGGTATTCGCCCTGATAAGTTATTGAATGATAAATTTAAGTGGCTTAGGAAGTATAAATCTGACAAACCCGAAGGAATTGAACCGGAAAGCTCGTTTTTAGATAGATCAAGGGATTCCACTCTCTTCAAATTTCCAATTGTCTCAGGAATCCTTCCATTCAGATGATTTCCAGCTAAATTCAATTTCCATAACCCCAAGAGATTCATCAACTCTTCTGGAATCTCTCCATCTATATTATTGTTTGAAAGATCTATCGATGAATGTTCTTCGATTGCTGCGGTATATGTACGTTCTATTCCTCTTATAGAATCTATAATATATTCTTTGTAATTTGCACCAACCCCAGACCCTCCTTTGACAAGACCTTGATCCATGACCATGGCGGTAAAATTGCCAAAACAATGTGGAATATTACCCGTGATACTATTTTGTGCCACGTTCAACAGTTGAAGTGCAGAGAGCCAACAAATCTTTGGAGGAATATCACCATGAAACTTATTTGATTGAAGATTAAGAAATTCCAAATTCAATAGCTTTTCTCCGATCCATGGAGGTATGATACCAGTGAACGCATTCTTACCAAGATCAAGAACTTGCAGGGAAGTCAAATTCTGTAAAGACAATGGGAACTTCCCACAAAATCTGTTATTGCGCAAGTGTAAAGATTCAAGATTCCATAGGGAACCTAAAGTACTTGGAATTTCACCATGTAAGCTGTTGTTTGTCACATCTAGAATCCTCAACTGTTGCAAAAACCCCAAGCACTTTGGGAGTCTTCCTGTCAATTGATTTCTTGAGAGATCAATAAAAATCATTGTCTTCACGTTGCATAAAAACGTTGGAATTTCCCCAGACAACTGGTTGTTGGATAGAATAAATTGTTCCAATTTCAGATTCACCACATCTTTAATCATAGGAATATGTCCGGAAAGTAAGTTATCAGATAGATCTAAAATAGTAACATCTGAAGGAAACAATGTCAATGGTCCGTCGAATTTGTTGGACTTCAATATTAATTCCCTGAAGCCTATCCAAATGGAGTTATTCGATTCTACAAATTTTGGGAGTTTTCCACTGATTTGGTTCATGGATAGATCCAAGTAGAGGATATGTGAATATACGTTATCAAACCAATCTGGTATGGTATCTGAGACGCTCGCATTGTACATGCTCAACATTATCACGCGTGTCTGTGTTTGAAGCCAAGAAGGAAATCGAGGTCCTAGATTACAGGATGCCAATTCAATGTGTTGGAGTTGGAAAGGAGGAATCCATTGGGAGCTCACATTTAAAGCTAGGAAGTTGAAGGACATGGACAATGTATTCAACCTGGTGAGTTTAGTGAAGTGATATTCAGATACCATTCCGGCCAAATAATTGTGAGAAACATCTAACATTTCTAGTTTTGAAAGTTGTCCAAGACTCAAGGGAATGCTCCCATTCAACTGATTTCTACTAACATCTAACTCTCTCAAACGCAATAGTCTTCCAATTGACACGGGGATTGGACCGTGAATTGAGTTCCTAGAAAGAAGAAGCCGCTCTAAATTCTTATGGCAACCAAATGGACCTCCTTCAAGACTTGGAATCTCACCACTAAAATTGTTGTTTGACAAATCCAACACGTGTAACCTACATAGATTCTTTATTGTGGTTTGTAAACTTCCTTGAAACTCATTGCCAAAGAGGTCTAGAAGAACAAGACTGCTCAAGTTTCCCAATGAACTAGGCATTGAAGTGTTAAAAGAGTTATCAGAAAGACCAATGTGAGTGAGAGAGGATAATCTTCCAAGAGTATCAGGAATTGGCCCGTGAAATCGATTATCATCAAGATGGAGACGCAAAAGTCCAGTAATGTTAGACAACCAGAGAGGGATGGTGGAATCAAAACTGTTGGATTGGAGGTCAAGTGAAGAGAGAGAAGTGAAATTAACATACGAAAGAGGGGGAATGGTATAAAGTTGGCAACCAGTTAACTTCAATACTGACAGAGAAGAAAGCATGTTAATTGGTTGTAACCAATCTGTACCTTCCCCAATGGAGATCTCAGATATGTCCAAGTGTTTCAAAGAGGAAAGCTTAGACACCCACAACAGATTATCAACTGTCAAATCATTGTAAAAAAAATCACTAAGGTCAAGGTAGCGCAAGCTCGAGAGATTTCCTAGATGATGTGGAATGTTTCCTCCAAAACCCGAATTAGAGAGATTAAGATACCTCAAATTTTGAAGTGAGCCTAAGAATTTTGGAATTTGGGTTCCTGAAAAGTTGTTCATGCTCAAGTCCAAGTGACTCAAATGCTTCAAATTGAGTAAAGAAGGATTAATCTCACCTCCCAAGCAGGTTTTGCTGAAATTTGCCAAATCATCAAATGGATTGTGAAGATCAAGTCTGAGGACATGACCTGTTTTGTTGCTGCAAACAACTCCCTTCCATGTACAACAGTCTTCTCCGACCCACGACGACAATCGATTTGATTCATCAGTGAGACTTTCTCTGAACTTGACAAGAGCTTTTTGCTCACTCTCAATGCAGTTCACATTGGGGTGACTTGCTATGCTATAACTGAACTCAAGTACTTCCATGAAAAGAATAGAAAATAAAACCACAAGAACAGTAGCGGGTGTTCCCATGGCTTCTCCAATTAAGTGTTTCTGAAGAAAAAACAATCTTTTGTACTGGTGGGGCTTCAAAACAGGCATTGACTTCCGAAGTCAAAGTCAAGAGTGACTCTTGTTGCTATGCTATAACACCTCTTTTTTATTAACACATTCCCTCTAACCCGTTTTCGATTAAGTTAGTGACTCGTTACTCAATACAATATAATTATATACAGATGGTAAATGTTTTGACCTAAAATATTATATTATGTTTTTTTTTTAAGAATCAATTTCTTAACAATAAAAGAAAATGGTCTCAATTAAACTTCGCAATTAAATAAATTTGACTTTGTCACAGACTTTTTGATTGCATACATTAAAAGAAAAATATTAAAAGTTTAGTATATAATCAGTTATAAACATTTTTGGGAACTTAAAAGAACTACTTATTCTACTTTGATAGGATAGTTATTGGGTTCATTGTTTATATAATAATTTAGTTTTAATCTTGATAAATTTCTACATTAAACTTAGTAATTTTACCTCTAAGTTGTTGAATTTTATTCATGTTTTGTCCCCTATACAATAAAATCCTCGCTCCACCTCTGACCATGGTCATTATATGATTGGTTCAATTACCAATAGAAAAAACATAAAATATATATGTATAATTACCATAAATGTAATATCATATATATAAAGTGCATATTAAACACATTGAAATTACATTTATCCCACGAGCTCAGACTTAATTATAAGGGTTTTTTCTTTTTTGGTATTTTATTGGCATGATGTATAAGTAAAATTTCAAACAATGCGAAACTTTACAGTTATGATATTCTCTAAAGATAATATATAAGAATTTCCTTATTAATAATAGATTCATTTTTTTTTCAACTTTTCACGCTCACTTGGATCAAATCTNTCTCTAAAGATAATATATAAGAATTTCCTTATTAATAATAGATTCATTTTTTTTTTCAACTTTTCACGCTCACTTGGATCAAATCTTGCAGCCACAAAATATTTAGATTATTATTAATTGAAAACAACATAAAATTCTTTGGTCCAAGTTTCAATGTTTGGAGTTTGGTCGTCTAGACCTCAACATACGTCCACCCCTTTTTGGTTTGTTGCCACATTGATGACTTTGAAGTCTTTGCTTGACTTTTAAATTTTTTATTTTACATTGAGATTTGATGGTTTACGGCTATGATAATTTAATTAAATTCATTTTTGAGAGAAGTAACCGACATAGTTAAGAGTTTTATAATCCTACTAATTAAGGTCTATTTTCTTTGCTCACTCTCCTTTGAATGAGTAATGTAATATTTTTAGGGAAAAAAATATGTATGGGATAAAAATTTAAATTATTATGTGTTTTATTATATAGATTTTTGTGTCGTATGATTTTTTTTGTGTTATTTTTGAGTTATATTATTTTCAGTACGCATCGTATTTATGTCAACATTTATATAAATAAAAAATTATTTAATTATGCAACGTCTCATACGAAACTTTATAAAAAAAGAAAAATTATTTGGTACAAGTTTGAACGGTTGGAGTTTGGTCATCTAGACGTCAACATACGTCCATCCGTTTTTGGTTGGTTGACACATTGATACTTTTAAGTCTTTGCTTGATTTTTTGTGTTTACATTGAGATTCCGTCGCTAGTCTAGTTAAATTCGTTAATGAGAGGAGTAACAGACACACAATCGGGGACTTCACAACCTCACAAACACTACAAGAATAAGGGTCTTTTGTGACAAATTTTTTAAGACGATTGTATTTGCCGTCACAAAAAACGTATTTGAGATAATTTTTTTTGTGACGACTGTGTTTGCCATCACAAAAAAATGTGTTTGTGTTAATATTTGTGGCAATTATTCTTTTTGCCATAAAAAGTGACATAAACTCAAAAGAGATTTTTGAATTTGAGATAGTTATTTTTCCGGCCTCAAATAATATTTTATAAATTCAAATTTTTTTTTTATATTTATGGTAACTATTTTTCCCGTCGTATATAATGTTTCATAAAAAATTAAAATGTTTTTTTAGATTAAAAAATAGTTTATAGTTTAAAGAATAAAAACTCTAAAAAAATTTGTATTGGCCACAACTATTTTTCATGATACAAGTAATATTTTATAAAATTACGTAATTTAACATCAAAATACAATTTCTAGTTCAAAGAAAAAAAATTAAACTCTACAAAGTCAAGTTTTTATTTCAAAATTAGGGGTGTCAAAATATGACTCGACCCGCTAACACGATATAAAATTAGTGGATTTGAGTCTTCCTTAAACCACCAGTTTAGTAAATGAGTGGATCCGTCACAATACGATCATAAACGAATCAGTTATTGATAAAACCAATTAAAAGAAATGTATACGATATGACTCGTTTATATACTATTTACATAATTGGACAAGCCGTTTAGAGAAATATTGTGTGGCCCTCTGTTGATGTATATTCTAACTTCTTTTAGTTCTTTATTGTNATATTGATAAAACCAATTAAAAGAAATGTATACGATATGACTCGTTTATATACTATTTACATAATTGGACAAGTCGTTTAGAGAAATATTGTGTGGCCCTCTGTTGATGTATATTCTAACTTATTTTAGTTCTTTATTGTGTATATATATATATATATATAGTAACAATAATTTTTTTTTTTTCAGATGTCACTAAGAGAGTAGATAGTTCGGAAAGGATGTTCAATTATTTGCATTAATTTCTTGTACTCATAGATCGTTATGTTTTATAAAAGTGCATATTTTATATTTTATTTACCTCGTGAGATTTTTTTTTTATATGAAAATATTGTTATGTTTTTGAAAATATTGATTATATTTACTTTTGTGTTTATCTATATATTAAATTGGGTAGTTGTATGGATATCAATGAGTCTTTGGTCTAATGATACTCCTTACATTGTGAAAGCTTTGATTTCTTGAGGTCAAGGGTTCAAGCTCTCTTCCCTCTCCNTTATTAAATTAGGTAGTTGTATGGATATCAATGAGTCTTTGGTCTAATGATACTCCTTACATTGTGAAAACTTTGATTTCTTGAGGTCAAGGGTTCAAGCTCTCTTCTCTCTCCCCTCCCACAAAAAAAAAAAGTTGTACGGAGTGTATATATGCAAATGGTGCCGCCATAAATATATCTTTTATTTTTTACGACATCCAAATATGGTATTTAAATCAACACTTTTGCCATCGTGATAAANCTTACATTGTGAAAGCTTTGATTTCTTGAGGTCAAGGGTTCAAGCTCTCTTCCCTCTCCCCCTCCCACAAAAAAAAAAGTTGTACGGAGTGTATATATGCAAATGGTGCCGCCATAAATATATCTTTTATTTTTTACGACATCCAAATATGGTATTTAAATCAACACTTTTGCCATCGTGATAAAAGCAAAAATGTCAAATTTTTTGTGACAACTTATTTACGACATGGTCTGACTGCCGTAAATACTATTTCAGATAGACCGTTGCTGCCGTAAAAATCTTTTGAGACCACACTTATTATGACAAGATAATGCCGCCACAATGCTGTCACAAATAGTATTTGTGACAACAAATAAACTTTTTATAATAACACTTTACTGCCGTAAAAATTATTTTTTTCTTGTAATGCAATGAGGATCTATCTCCTTTGCTCAATCTCATTTAAATAAAAAAAAACATTGATTTTAGTGGATAGCTTTGCTTTGGTCTTCACATTTAAAGATGTCAATTGTNACATCCAAATATGGTATTTAAATCAACACTTTTGCCATCGTGATAAAAGTAAAAATGTCGAATTTTTTGTGACAACTTATTTACGACATGGTCTGGCTGCCGTAAATACTATTTCAGATAGACCATTGCTGCCGTAAAAATCTTTTGAGACCACACTTATTATGGCAAGATAATGCCGCCACAATGCTATCACAAATAGTATTTGTGACAACAAATAAACTTTTTATAATAACACTTTACTGCCGTAAAAATCATTTTTTTCTTGTAATGCAATGAGGATCTATCTCCTTTGCTCAATCTCATTTAAATAAAAAAAAAATACATTGATTTTAGTGGATAGCTTTGCTTTGGTCTTCACATTTAAAGATGTCAATTGTGAAAAAAAAAACTGGTTTTTATCTGATTAAAGTCTTCCAAGAAATAAATAAAATTTAGCTTTAGTGGGTAACTTGCATTGGTCCTCCCGTGTAAACTTGTCAATCACGTTATATCGTATTATTAGTTATATTCTGTGCTTGAAGGTATAATGAAACATAAGATTCGAATATTCAAAAATTTGATTATATTATACCAAATAGTAAATTTTTATTTTTTTCGTTTATTTGATTATATTATTTAAAATTAATTTCTACCTATTTNGCTTGCATTGGTCCTCACGTGTAAACTTGTCAATCACGTTATATCGTATTATTAGTTATACCCTGTGCTTGAAGGTATAATGAAACATAAGATTCGAATATTCAAAAATTTGATTATATTATACCAAATAGTAAATTTTTATTTTTTTCGTTTATTTGATTATATTATTTAAAATTAATTTCTACCTATTTTTTCCAAAAATTAGCATCAATTTTCTCCTAAAAATAGCTTCAATTTTCTTAAAATGAATAGTCAGACAAAATTTTCTCAACATGTGTATACTATCGTGTATAAACAAATATTGAAATTAAAATTGTCTTAAACTATAAATTAATCAAATATTAAATATATATAATAAAGTACCTTACAATTCAAATCTAAAAAGATAAACAAAATAATTTTTGCTATTCGCGGTTGAGATCGTTTTAAATTTTACTTTAAAGTTAATCTAACGGCTAATATTAACACTCTAAATTTAATAGGAAAAATATGCATCTAAGGGTGTGTTTTGAGTGACTTTTTAAATGTTTTTTTAAAAATTATTTATCATAAATACTTTAAAAAAAATAATATTTGAAACCGCTCCACCACTACCTCTACCACCACCACTGCAGCCGCTCCCGCCGCTACTGCCGCCACCACCCCCAACACCACCACCACCCCCATCGCCGCCACCATCACCATCACCACCACCACCATCGTCGTCACCGCCCC